AGATGGAGGCGTCAGACTGATGAGAGATTGAGAGAGAGAGCGGTACAGAGCCGAATCTCCCCAGAGCAAAGTCCAACTCATTTCCGTAAATTGGTCCTTTCGAACGGTTTGCTTCAGAAGAAAAAAAGACTGAGCAGTTTTTTTACATCATCACATGGTTACTGACATCCCAGCATCTCCACAACATTCCTATAAAGTCCTATGAAGCATATTTTGTTAATTACTTAAAGGCAGTTTATTCTAATTTTGTATCAATTTGTTGGAGCCATGAATCAGCTCATAAAAAAAGCTGTTTAGAGCCTAAATCTAATTTGCATTTACATTAAACTAAAACTAAAACAAATTTCCTGGTTAAAGTCTTTTAAAATGCTATTAAAACCAACAACTACTTTGTATAAGCAAGCATTGATAAAATAGTCTAACAATCAGGGTGTTAACATATTTCTAGTAGCCCATGTTTTATTCAATTTCTGCTGTTGGCTAATTTACTTTTCACCCATTCAGTCAAACACTCAGTTCACTCCAAATGTTCTTAGCATCAACACACACATCAATACTTGGTTCATTACGAATCATATGTGTGCAAAAGAGACTGTATCATGTGAGATTCTATCCCCCTGTACGACTCCATGTGGTGGCTTGTAACTCACAATAGGTCTGCTTTTAAAGGTTTAAATGTTATAGTTAAAAATCCAATTGTTTCAGAAGAAAATGAATGGGATCTTGTGGAACCTGACTGTTATACAAGTTCTTTCAGTCAATAGAATCGCTCTAGGCTCCAACAGGATTCTGTTAGGGGTTACAACACGACAATGGCTCGACAAAGTCAGTGAGCTGTCAAACCAGATCATTCAGAGTTGGACACATCTGAAAGAATCAGTTGTCTGTAATGAGTAAGGGAACTCTAAGATTAAATGAATCACTTGCAAGTCAGACAAGTCTAACAAACATGGTTCAAGGTTCAGTGAGTTGGAGAGTTGTAAAGACAGATCACTGCAGGTCAAATTTGAGTCTACATAAGTTCAATTAAGTCAGATAGTTGATTCAGGAACCGCTCGGACGATTCAGTCAGATTCATTAATGAACAGAGCCACTGAAAAAAAAACAGATTCAAAGGAATGATTCGTTTATGAATCAGACATCATTAAAGGTGGGGTAAGCGATTTCTGGTAGCCAATGTTGACATTTGAAATCACCAAAACAAACACGCCCCTATTTTGATAGCTCCGCCCCACACATACGTACGCAACCCAGGCAACGATTAGTTCTGTGAAACAAAGCAAAACCAATGTTACACCGTGTCTACACCGGACGCGAGTGGCGCAGCGCGACAAAATACTATGGAACTCATTATAATCAGTGATGCTGTCTACACCATAGATATATATACACATCTATGGTCTACACTGGATGCGGCGCGACACGACACGACAAATCCCTGACAGAAAACTGCTGCTGTGTTCTATTCATGATGTATTGACACAAATTTCAAATGATTTTCAACGGTCGCTTTGTCAGTGTACTAGACAGATTTTAGTTGTTGCAGCGCAGACACGGTGTTACTCACCTATCGAGAAGAAACAAAGCAACCTCGCCGTCCGATCACAGGCCTTCCGCTCCTTGAGTTCCAGCGCTGGAAAGCTGATCCGATATTTACACGGTCCTACTTCTTGCCTTATTGCCTTAAAGGTGCCATAGAATGGAAAACTGTATTTACCTTGGCATAGCTGAATAATAACAGTTCTGTACATGGGAATGACATACCGTGAGCCTCAAACACCACTGTTTCCTCCTCCTTATGTAAATCTCATGCATGCAAAAGACCACCGAAAAATAGGTGAATCAGAACATAACACTGACTGTGACGTTACAGTCAGGATCACTAATAGTTACGCCCCCAACATTTGAATATACCCGCCAATGTTCTATGCCAGCCGCCAGCCGAACCTGCACAGCCGAATCATCAGAAGTTCTGCAGGTATTGTGAAGAAACAAGCGAGGATAATAGCGAAAATGGCAGATCATGGAAATAAATGTTATGTTCCAGGCTGT